ATTTGTAAACTGTCATAAGACGAAATGGTGGAAGTGAGATGAAGTCAAAAAGTGACATATATTTGGCCGGCTAAATTTCCCTTTAGTTTACATGTCAAAATTACAATAAATTAATTATTTTGCTTAGCAATTAGCTATGTATTAAAACTAAAATTATTACTATTCAATTCTTTACATTCAAATATTAAACAATTCAAATTTAATAACAAAGATATTACAATAAATAAAAAAAATGATTAAAAATGTCCCTGAAAATTTTCTGAAAGCTATCTCGTGTTTAGGTCTCAGTTTTTTTTAGAAATAGAAAAAGATTGGATTTAACTTTCAAGCATTATATATAGTTTTGTATATGGAAGCCTTTAAATACAAGTTAATGATATGGAGTTGTATTGCGAGGAAGAGGGAATCAAAGAAATTGACGAAGTTCCAGAATTTTATTCAACAATTCTTAATCAATTAACAAAAACTATACCGAAACTTATCTTACCATCCAAATCAAATCACATTACATACGGAATAAACATTTAATCTTTTACCATTAAAATTATATTTATACGTTATTTAATTTTTTACGTCTAAGTTGAATAGGATAATAGCCGAAGATATAAAGTAACTATAGTTTACAAGCTAAGGAACAAATCAGCATTGAAACTAAAAAATGCTGAAATATTATAATAAATTGAAGAAATACTGTGATAGAATACCTAGTTATACTAGATACTATTATAATATGAATTCATTTGTATTGAATATCGATAATAAAAAATCGATGAAATATTAAAATGAGAATAAATTAATAATGAGATTATAAATTAGAATTATTTCTCTTTTATTTAAAATAAAAACTTAGTTCTATTTAAATTCGATAAAGAAGTATTAAAAAGTTGTATTATACGTATGATGTTGCCCGATGTTTGGTAACACTATTGTAGAATATAAGCATATATGATAGAAAAGCAATATGCTTAATATCGAGTAATTCTAATTTTTTACGAAATTATTCAAATACGTTGTTTTTTAAAATGAAAAGATAAGCATACCATTATGCAGTAGTTTGCGCACATATACTATGCTGATGAAAGTTGGTCTCTAATTCGAAACTTGAGTCTGTCAAATTGACGTTCCATCTTATTTTAATCGATATTCAATACAAATGAATTCATATTATAATAGTATCTAGTATAACTAGGTATTCTATCACAGTATTTCTTCAATTTATTATAATATTTCAGCATTTTTTAGTTTCAATGCTGATTTGTTCCTTAGCTTGTAAACTATAGTTACTTTATATCTTCGGCTATTATCCTATTCAACTTAGACGTAAAAAATTAAATAACGTATAAATATAATTTTAATGGTAAAAGATTAAATGTTTATTCCGTATGTAATGTGATTTGATTTGGATGGTAAGATAAGTTTCGGTATAGTTTTTGTTAATTGATTAAGAATTGTTGAATAAAATTCTGGAACTTCGTCAATTTCTTTGATTCCTTCTTGAAGCGTTGAAATTTCTTATTGACTCTCTTTTTATAACTTTTGAAAGAAACCGTAAAAATTGTGAAACATGCTTTTTAATAAAAAACAATTTTGATGAAAACCATAAATTAATTTAAAATTGAAATAAATTTTTGAAATCTATGATATTGAATAAAAAAATTTATAGTGTAGATATTGATGTAGATATAGATGTTAATTTTAATATGATATTTGATAAAATTTTTTTATCAAAACATACTGATTATAGGTTGACATGTAATATGATATTTTGCCTTGTAAATATATTTGGTCGGCAAAATAACCTAATTACTCTTATTTTGAGTTCACTTCCACCATTTCGTCTTATGATAAAACTCCTTTCTCGAATAGCTTGCACTTTTTCACTTGAATGTGATTCATTGAATTTCAATTCGAGAAAGGAGTTTACAAATGCAGAGTATTGCTCCTTTACCCTGCATTTGTAAACTCCTTTCTCGAATAGCTTGCACTTTTTCCAAAGAATGTCACATCGAGAATTTAATTCAAGAAAGGAGTTTACAAATGCAGGGTATTGTTCCTTTACCGTGCATTTGTAAACTCCTTTCTTGAATATCTTTATTTGTTTAAATTATAAATATCACATTCTGTATTAAACTCGTCAAATCTCCTCACTTTCCCATTACAATCATAAATAACCATTATCTATATTTCTTAAATTTCTCTATTTGTTAATTTTCTTAATGCTCAATTATTTTTTTATTTTTTTTATTTTTTTGGAAATTTTTATTCAATTTTGTGTTGAATTTATTCAATTCTCTTTATATAATAAAATTATTCATTTTTATTTTTTTAATTTTTGAATACATACGATAATTTTTAATTCAATTTTTAAACGAATGTTTTGATGGGACGAGCTTACTGAGCATAGGCTCATCCCATCAAAACTGTTGTAAACAGAAATTCATCAAAAGTGACACCTCAGAAAAGCTAAAATATTGAATTTTTGGAACTTTTGATAGAGCACGTTTTTAAATATTAATTAAAGTAAATGTATATTTTGTAAAGATTCTTTTTAATAAAAAAATAAAATTTTGAAGAAGAACACAAAATCTTCTGAAAAATAATATCACATAAACTCATATTATTTTCTAATATATAACTATTTTATATAAAAATCAAATTCAATGATCTTAAAAGCGAAGGATAAACCTCAAAATTTACGAATATAATGAGTGGGAATATAATGCTTATCTATCATAAAACCATATGAAATATCAATTTTTGCTTTACGCCTAATTTTTGACGACAATTAGCAAAAAATGTTAAATGTTAACACTCAGTCCATTTGAATATGAAAATAAAATTGACTTTGATTAAATGTTTTTATTTATCATGCAATTCTTCTTGCGACCAAAGATTTGAATAAAAGTTCAAAAAATAAGATAGCTTAAAAAATAATGTACGGTAGTGTTTACTAATAGATGAATAGTATATAAATTCTATTAAAATGGATTTGATCCAAAAAAATATATAAATTTGATCATAAATAAAATTGTTTAGTAGTCATTTAAAATGATGTAATTATTCAAATTTTGCTAAGACCCATTCGTATTTGATATATAACTCCCATTTTTGCATTTCTGGCTCGTACCAAAATTTTGAAACTTCGAATAATTCGTTAGGAGTGTAATTACTATTCGTTTTTGGATTAATATCGAGAGATAAATGTGGTGTATTGTTGTATTTTTCAATGAACTGCTGAACTGAGTCCTTGATTTGTTGAATATCATCCAACTCGTCTGGCAAAAACTTTTCTAAGCATGGCCACAGGCGCTCCACCTTGCCGTTCTGTCTTAGCATATACGGCAAGGTGTGCTTCCAAACTATTCCGTTTTCCTGCATAACCTGGCCGAATTCACCGCGGTTTTCACCGCCATTATCGGTCCAGATGCAGCAAGGAATAAACTCCTCTAAAAGTTTTCTTAAAACCTTCGCTGTTGAGTTGGAAGACTTGTTTTTCAATAATTTAGTTTTGAGAACTTTACGTGTCATATCATCCAATATGGCAAAAATGGAAAAGAAACATTACCGTGAAGGTAATGAATATCGCAGTGCCATATCAAATTCTTTGATATGGCACGATATTTGGTAGGTGGATCTGCTGGTTTGTAATCTCTTTTTGAAGATAAACCTGATTCCATCATAAATTTTTCCACTTGATGATGCTTTATTTTTTGTAAATTGTCAAAAATTTGATCTTTTGTCAAATCTTCTATATTTTCAAATTCTTTTGCAATTTTTTCTTTTTCTTTCTCACAATCGGGATTGTGAGCAATATTTTGAAACCTTTTAATCAATAAATAAGCTTTTGAAATTCCTCCTTTATATTGTGAAACACAAGAATTAATTAATTGTTTTTGCTCAAATGTTGGTGGATTTGGTTTTCTGCCGCGACTAACTTTTGGTAATTCGATTTCTTGAAGTTGAAATGCTCTTCTTATTGTATTTTCGGCAACATTCAATTTAATTTTACCATTTTCCAATTCAACTTCCTTTCCCACACTTTTGTAAGATTCGCCTTCTTCTATTCTTCTTTTAGCTTCAAATAGCCATTCTCTGCTTATAGATTTGGCAGTAGTCATAAAAGTGGTCTTTCTTTTGTGATAAGATTCAAATTTGAATGTGGATGATAAATAAAAATAAAAAATAATTGTTATAATTTTGTTTCGTACCGAAATGGCTAACAAAAAAGTGACAGAAAACCTTAAATTGTGCGGCAATTTTAATTAAAAAAATAAACATGAATTTTTGTGATTGATATTATGCATTTTATTTATATTATATAAGATTTAAATTTAGGGGAAAAATTGAAAAAAAATAAGATTGGAAGTCTTTAGGTAAGAAGGAAAAGGCAAGAGGTATATAGGTACACTATATATCTCTTGCCCTTTCATTCTAAGTAGAAATGGGAATTGCAGGCTATGAGGCACTGATATATAATCAGTACCTCATAGCCTACAATTTCCCTTATTAGACTTCCAAACTTTGAGTTAACGTCTTGACATTAACTCAAAGTTTGGAAAACTTCACGTAAGAATCAATCGTCAAAAACCTCGATTGCAGTTATATTCATTGTGTTAAATTTGATTTATTTTGAAATTTTTATAAATTAAATTTTATATAACATAAAGCGTTATGAATTAGTATTTCCATATGAATTTTATCTCGAAAATAGTAATTCTGTACAGTTATATTTCGGTTAATTTTGGAAATTTCTAGGAATAGTTTAAGATAGTATGATTATTTGTTTTTTTTGGACCTGAAAATCCCATAGTATCATTTTTTTGGCTCCAGTAATTTAAACTCTTGTTCGCGCGAATCTTTGTAGTTTGCATCAAATTTTGAATTTAAAAACAAGAAAAATAGTGAAATAAAGTAAAGAAAATCGAGGTTTTTATTCGTAAATAATTGGCTTTTGATTACGTATGGCTCTAAAATGAAGATTTTGTTTTGGAATTTTATCATTATTCTTTTGTCGTGAAATTTTCTATGCTTTCTTTGAGGCTGATGACCTGGCCATCAACCTCCCAATATGCTTCTTGATTTTGATCGAGGTACCAATGTAAATCTTTTTCATGATCTTCAAAATCTGTTGGAGTAAAGTGTACGCCTGTGATTGGATTAATCGGCAGGCTCGCGTGAGGCATATTATTGTAAAAATGTATTACTTTTGGAATATCTTCATTACATCTGCAATTTTTTTCTGCATTGGGCCACCACTTTTCTATCTTTCCATTAGCCTGTGGATTTCCAGGCTTAATGAAAATTTGTGTAATTGAGTGTTTTTTGCAAAGTTTCGAGAATTCTCCGAAATTCTCTTTCCCGTTATCCGTCCAAATCGCGTAAGGATAACCGGGAATCGTTTGTAAAGCTCTTTCAAGTATTATAGCTGTATTATGAGCCGTTTTTTCTTTCATGAGCTGATAATCAATAATTTTTCGAGAACGATCGTCGATTATGGCATATAAATATTGGCCTATCGTTCCATGCCAGTAATGAATATCGGCGTGCCATATTTCATGGCACTTTGTTGCAATGTAATTTCGAGGTTTGTATTTTTGTTCTGTAATTTCTTGATTTTCAGGAGGTTCCTTGATGAGGGCCTCATAAATTTTCCTTCCCATTCTGTAAGACGGAGGTGGAAATGGTTTTTCGATGTAATTAGCTGAAATTAAAGATTCTTCGACAGAATTTGTTTTTAAAACTGGACCATATGATTTCGGGACTTCAGTAACTAAAGAAATTCTATCAGTTTCTTTAAGCCAGTTACCAGAAGTAAAAAGGTTTGCATTTTGGAAGTTTTCTTTGATTTGCTGAAATTCTTGAGGGTGACTCTCAATTTTTGTAAGGTCTGTTTGAATTTTCTGTATTATTTTGTTGATTCCAGTATTCGGCATTTGATCTTTGAAATTACAAAATGCTTGAGCAGCATCCAAATCGATTTCTTCTGGTTTTCTTCCTTTTGGAGGATGATAAGGAATTGGCGCACGTAATTTTACTGCTTTTCGAAATGTGTTTTCAGAAATTTTTGAATATATAACTCTGCCTTCATGATTTATTTTAGCTTTCGCGCAAATATCAGTTAACTTAACTCCATTATTTGATTTTGTGATGGCTTCACAAAGCCAATCAATATCAATCTCTTCTGGAGAATGTCTTCTCATCTAGAATATTTTCAATACTTTACATACAAACATTTTTATTTCTAAAAAACTTTTTAATTTTTTCTAGGATATATGAATGAAAATAGTTAGAACAAGATTTTGAAGCTCAAAACATTAAAAATTATTAAAGATTTGTATAATATGATTAAAAATGGGAAATAATATGAGGCAATATAAAGGAATATGAATATTAAATAAATATATCTAAATAGAAAGAATCAGAAAAATCAAATTATTGGCGCCAAAAATGTCACCTTTTTGGTGAGCCATTTCGGTATGAGATAATAATTGTTATAATTGAAATGAAGAAGTAATTTAAAACGATTTTATTTATGATCAAATTGTATATATTTTTTGGATCAAATCCATTTTAATAGAATTTATATACTATTCATCTATTAGTAAACACTACCGTATATTATTTTTTAAGCTATCTTATTTTTTGAAATTTTATTCAAATCTTTGGTCGCAAGAAGAATTGCATGATAAATAAAAACATTTAATCAAAGTCAATTTTATTTTTCATATTCAAATGGACTGAGTGTTAACATTTAACATTTTTTGCTAATTGTCGTCAAAAATTAGGCGTAAAGCAAAAATTGATATTTCATATGGTTTTGAATAGTTCACGGAAACGTTCTGGGAAAGAGTCATAGTAAATGTAGTCAGACATGTCTTTGTAATGAAATAAAAAATTAAAAAAAATAAAAATAAGGTTATTTTTTATTTAGTGAGGACGGTAGTGAAGTCGTTAGTGAAGTCGTTAATGAAGTCGTTAGTGAAGTCATTAGTGAAGTCATTAATGAAGTCAATAGTGAAGTCGTTTATGTGTCAGATGGTTTTGTAAATATTTAGGGTTAAGTTGGTGTTATGGTTGTGTTGTAAAATATACGTTACTGGTTTCGTAAAGTGTCAAAACCGCTAAGTGGTGTACGGAGGCGCGCAGTCCCTCAGTACGCAACTTAGGTATATTAATTTTTAGATCTTGAATGGATGGAATTAATGGCCAGTCCATAGGATCACTCAATGGAATTTTGAAATCAATTGGATTTTGAGGTGGAGCATCAATATATTTCAGTAATAAAGACATTTATGAATTAGAAAAGTGACAAATAATAAATCACCATAAATAATATAAATTCAACAATATATATGATGCAATATCTATTATATAAAACATTCTGTGAATTAAAAATTTAATTTTTTTTCATGAATCATTTGTAAATAATATTTTTGCTACAGTTTTTCAGGAGATATTAAAAAATCATGACGATATTTGTTTGACATTATTGATGTTTCAATGATAAAAATAATAAATGGTGATTAATATTATGTTTCTAAAGAATATAAGAGACAACAGAAATAGAAATATGTTAGAAACTTAAAAATATATGTATACATAATAGCTTATGTTATCATAGCTAAATATCATTTAAGGGTGCACACGAGAGGATCATGTAAACTTCAGAATTTAGAACCTTATTTTTAGGCATTATCTTGGCTACCTATTTAGGCTCGAAAAGCAAAAAAATATCAAAAAATACAACTTGACTCCATTATGACCCTTTCATGGAGGTAGTTTTTATCCGCTAGTATTTTCCCTTTGAATCTCTTTACAATTCGAAATCAAATTCAAAACTCAGTAGAAGAAAGGAAGAATCGACTTACTACGGTTGTAATACGAATAAATACATATATTTAATTATTTTTATTTACATAATAATTGTTTGAAGCTCATATTCCATCAAATTTTTAAATAAAAACATTAAAATGTTGAAAATGTTCATATATTTTTAATAGGGTTTTGGCACTTTATTGAGGAATTACTACATACATAATCGAACTGAACTTGATATTTTGAAATTTAAATTATTTATCAAAATTAAAATTTAACTTGAAATTTATAATTATTTAGTCATATTTTGCATAATTCTAAGTAGATTTTGTAAAAAATCAAGAAAGAAAAATTTTAACGTGCTTTATTTTTTCTTTTTTATAATAATACATATTATTATATAATTAACATATTCATAATGTTTCACCCTTTCAAAAATATAATCCTCCTCCTCTCAAATAAACGTACATACGGGTGGCCTCTTTTTTCAAAAAATTAAAATTTGAAATTTTGGGCTCAAATATTAGAGATTTTTTCAACCTTCAACGATATATGTTGTCTATATCAGACCTCCTTTCTTTTTGATACTTAACATTGTTCCTAAATCTTAGCCGTTAAGGCTGTTCTGAAAATATTTTTTTTCGAAAAAATTCGAAAAAAATTCTTAAAAATCAAAAATCCCTTAATTCCTGAGGATTAGGGTTGTTAGATTCCCGACGATAGGTGTCTTGGAAGATTTGCCTGGTGTCATCATAGTGTCTTTAAATCAAACATTTTCAATCAAAAAAAAAGTGTCTATTGATTTCACCTCCACATATGTATTTCCCATTTTCAATCCACATATGGGTAATTTTAAATTTTTTAACTTTAATTTCTTCAGGAGGGGCCTGAGTTTGGTTCCGTTTCTCAAAATCGTCAATCAATTTTTTATAAAAAAATAATTTCGTGGAATCAACCCAATTACATTCTTCTTTATTGTTTTCAATCCATTTTATTAAATATTGAGGTGAATCACCATTATTTTTTTTTCATTATAATTTGAGTGGGTTTGCAAGTTTTATCATTGAACATTTGCAAATAAATTGAGACATGATCGGTAATTTTGAAAGGATAATAAAAAATTGAGAGAAGGTGTAATTTTTTAAAAAAGAAGATAAATCAAATATATTTTAATAAACAAATCAAATTATTAATTCATCCAATTTTTTTTAAGAAATGATCGGCAATTTTGAAAGGATAATAAAAATTGAGAGTAGGTGTAATTTTTTAAAAAGAAGATAAATCAAATATATTTTAATAAACAAATCAAATTATTAATTCATGCAAATTTTTTAAGAAATGATCGGCAATTTTGAAAGGATAATAAAAAATTGAGAGTAGGTGTAATTTTTTAAAAAAGAAGATAAATCAAATATATTTTAATAAATAAATCAAATTATTCAATTTTGATTTTAAAAACAATACTTTTATTGTAAATTTGAATTCAAATTATTGTTTTATGAGAAAGGGACAGACTAGCCCATTGTCACTTTTTAATTTAGCAAATGAACGCTTATGGAGTGGAGTTTTTGGGTAAATCTGATTTGCTTATAAATGAAATAAAATCAAAAGAAACCATATTGGCATTATATTATGCAAAAATAAATGATCTTACTTAGTACTTTTAAAGTTAATTTCAGAAAAAATTTGACACAATGGTATCCGGCACATACAAGTGGTGTACAACCAAAATATAAGTTAGTTTAAACATATATTGCTATATCTCATGATCTTACTTAGTACTTTTAAAGTTAATTTCAGAAAAAATTTGACACAATGGTATCCGGCACATACAAGTGGTGTACAACCAAAATATAAGTTAGTTTAAACATATATTGCTATATCTCATGATCTTACTTAGTACTTTTAAAGTTAATTTCAGAAAAAATTTGACACAATGGTATCCGGCACATACAAGTGGTGTACAACCAAAATATAAGTTAGTTTAAACATATATTGCTATATCTCATGATCTTACTTAGTACTTTTAAAGTTAATTTCAGAAAAAATTTGACACAATGGTATCCGGCACATACAAGTGGTGTACAACTAAATCTTCGACTCGATGAACTTGTCATCGAGTTATATTCCAGTGTTGTTCCTTCATTCCTGATTAAGTTGCAAATTAAAGGTCTGGATTCAGAGAGAAGTGTTAAAGTTATCAAAAAAGTCACAAGAGATTTCGAAGAAATGACACAATTTAAAAAAGTCGAATGCATCAGTATGCTTGAAGCTGTTCAGAAAGGTCTGAAAAATGATACACTTGATCCCAACATTGTTTACTCAACATTAAAAATATTATTGCAAAGAAAACATTTGATTTAATAAACATTTAATTTATTATAATTAATTTTTTATTACAGTATAGTAAAAAATGCTATAAATAAATTATTATATTTTATTAAAATGTGACTTTTAATAGTAAGTGAATAAAATAAATCAGGAATTGGGAAAGAAATAAGGTTAATTAAAAATAATGAAAATTACAAGTTTAAGGTTAATGAAAAAGTGACAATGGGCGAGTTTGTCCCCCACTCTTGTTTTATATTCAGCCTTATATATTATTTTTCTTTAAACATTATTTTTCTTTCTTCTATTCAAATGCATTTTCAAAGCAAATTTTGAATTATCCTATATTATCTCAATTACAAATATATTTTTATTTAACTTAAATGCACAATTAATCTTTTCATAATTTATCCATTTTGATAATTTTGATTTTTTTCAAAACGCTCTCAAATCTTTACAATTTGTGAGAATAATTTTATTCCCATATCAAAATTCAAATTTGTTTTTTTAATAATTGCATTTATCTATTAATATACTATCTATTTTTCAATTTTTTATTTTCTATTTTTTCTCAATTTTTTCAAAATCAAATATATAGGTTTTTTCTTCAATTATTTATAATTATATTAAAACATTTTACCCTTATATCAACCAAATGATTTAACACGTTAGCCCTTTATTTCAGCTTGAATTCTTCAATTTTTCTAAATATCAATTTTGATTCTCTACGATAGATTTGTAATAATTCAAAACAATATCTCCCCTATGAAAAGCACCTCAATGTGCATTGATATATCAAAGTATATTAATTTTTATTTACAATTCGATATTCCATAATATAATATCAAATTATTTTTCTTTGAGAATTATATGACTCTATTCATTGGATTTTGCAGTATAATTCCACATGAAGACAAGTCTTGAAAACTTATTTGAATGCTACTTTTTAAGCAAACAGAAAGTGTGTGACATGAATTTTATCCTCAAAAACTGACTGATCCAGAAAGTGTGGACATGAATGACACCAAAAATATAAACAGAAATGGTGATAGAGATGGATGGAATCTATTCACAACCTCATCTAAAAATAAAGCTTTAAAATAATGTTGGTCTTTCCCAAGGTATATTTTTAACATTAATTGTATTAGTCATTATATGAATTTCTAAATATGAACGTGGTGAAATGAGTGATTTATAAGCATCCCAGATTTCATCAAAAGGTAATGTTATACCTGATTGCTTCCAAATTAATTCTATATCGTATTTTGAGAAACCTTGAAATATAACGAAATCAGTAATTAAACGTTTTATGTTTAATGCTAAAAACCTCCACGTTTGCATAAGTATTGCTACAGTCATGTGGTAATGTCTGACTTTCGTTATTAAATTAGCTAATGGTGAATCTGGTTTTGAAACTAAACCTTTACCAGCGAAATCATCACAAACTAATAAAGTGTTTGATGGATATTTTTTAAAAGGATATTTTGAAAGTTTTGAGAGAATGTAGTTTGTCAATCGTTTCATATCATACGTACCATCCTGCTGTCTCAAATGATGTTTATCAATAATTCTTTCCATTTCTTCCGAGGTCTTTTGCATTCCTGATTGTATAAATTCAACTATTGCATAATATTTCTTCTTTCTTCTTATATAACGTTGAAGAAAAGAAATTAATTCGCTATATCCGGAACTTTAATTACTGATGCCTGAACTTTACCATAAACGTCTTCGCTGTTGAATCCATTGAATCTGAAGTTGCTGATATAATGATTTGGTCATAATATGAATCAGACCTAAACGTTCAGTAATTAAAATATGACGAATTAAATTAAAAGTCTTTCCCGAACCCATTTTTCCAATAGAAATACACACCGTTTGAACAGAACTGATAATCCTTACTGAAGGGAAGAATTAATGAACTATTGAGTTTATCAGATTTTTCATTCATTTTTTCATCTACTTCTTCAAATAAATGTTTCATTTTATTATAATTAAAAATGCAAGTCAGAAATTTTGTTAATACCGTTCCCAGTCTTAATGATAAAAGTATTAAAATCTATTATGAGCACATATTTTCACAACCGTTTAAAATAATCAATGGTGAATACATTTATGAATACCCTAAACACTGGGTTGATTATAACACTGGCGAAAAAGCAATTGAAATAAGACAGATAAAAACCATTCCTGCAGGACGAACCATTGAATTATATAACTTTGGAATAATAAGAGATAATCATCAATATGATTTACAGATTTATATAGATTTAGACACAGGAGATGATATGACAGCATTTAATAAAAAGATTAAATCGGTTCTTATTGAACAGTTAAAAGGTGCCGGATATCCTCAACCTAATGAAGTTGATATGTTTTATAGTTTTGAAACTAATTCAATAGAATTTCGTGTTAATTCAAATTCAAAAGCTGGTTTCATATTTGATTTAAAAGATGGTGCTGTCGGTGATGAGATTGAAAATATATACACGAATAAAAATTTTCAAGAGATTACAGGAATTAATAATGATGAATGCTTTTATCGATTTGCTCAGTTCGGAGCAGAACAGATAACATTAAATGACCTCCTGGAGTACTTACCAAAATCAATTTCCATTAAAAATGATGATTATTTATTAACATCAATTTCATTTAATGGTGTTTGGTCCAGAGAAGCGGCAATCATTAAATCAAGTATAAGTGAATTCGCTGAAGATTCTATTTTATGTTTATCAAACTGTTTATATTCTCCGCCGAAGCATTATTCAATAACTAATTATGTTAATAAATTTAATATAAAATTAGTTGAACCATCGAGCCTAAAAGATATTGTCCTTCCTGATGACAGAAAAGATAGTATTATTATCGAACTCATATTAATCGCTTATTAAAATTTAATTATATATAAATGAGTTCAACGACTGAAAGCGCATGGGCTAGTTTTGATGAAGATCCTAAACCGCGGAATTATAATAGAATTGTAATTCCTGTAGGTCTTTTATTAGCTGCTGGTGCTGTAGCGGGACCATATTTATATAGAAATTTATATAGAACACCGATTAATTCAACTGCCGGGGCTGATCTTATTCCAACAGGTCTGAAAAAATCTACACCGATTCAAACAAGCCCGACACAGGAAAGGAACCGCGAACCACTCACACGTATTAGGTCTTTTATTAATTATTTAAAGAATAGAAGAAATTAATTTGTAATAAATGACGTCGTTAAATGTAAAAATAATTTGTGATGATATTACTATCATTGATGATGTAAGTGAGTGTGCTAATATAATTGATAGAATTAATGAACTAATAAAGAGGTTCAGTGGTGAAAAAGTCAGAGTTTCATTAACGTTTAGCTCCGATGAAAAATTTTATGAGTTAATCATTATGAGAAATGATTTTAATAAGCATTAAATGGTATTTTCAACACTATCAGCTTTGTATGGAGGTTATAAAGCTATTGACGGTTTAACTGGTGGAGCTGTATCAAAAGCTTTAAAAAATAATGCTGGAATGCTTGTGGGAGCTGCTGCCAGAAAATTAAAATCTGAAAAGTTAAAGAAATTAGGTAACTGGGTCGCTGACCAGTCGCAAAACCTTTTAGGTGAAGATAATGAAATATCTAAGCAGCTAAAAGATTTTAAAGGTCAGTTGAATGGTGAAGAGTTTAAATTAAATTCGCTTAAAGAAAAGGAGAAACAGCCAGAATATCCACCAATTGAGGCACCGCCGATTAATTCAGCACCTGCGCCATCACCAGCACCAGTAACTGCGGTAGCACCATATGACCCTGGCGGTTATGGAAGACCTTTTGACCCCAAAACAGGAGGTTAGAATTGGTTCCATTACGGTCGAAGATATATTTTAGCTAAAATCGCAAAAGCAAAGAAACTGTTAAAAACTAAAAAGAAACCAAGAGTTTTAAAGTAATTAAATGGTTAGAGATGTTCTCGAATACCCTGCACCACCTGAAACGCCTAACAATAATGATTTATATAATCGATTGAAAACTTTAGGTAAAGCGTATTTATGGTTTAATTATCCTTATCATATGGCGGCTTATAAACTTTATAAGCACTATAAAGAAAGTAATAGACCTTCAACCGACCTAGTTGATCCGCAGGAATTAAGGAAAAAACGACGATAAAAAATAAAGTTAATTTTAAAAATATTTTTTATTTTTTACTTTTAATAAAATAAGTACTAAAATTACTGAAGCAACAAAACAAAAGTTTTTAGTTGAATACATTAAATCAGGAACTATTCCAGAAGGTTTTTATGTTCATCAAATGAAAGATGGTAGAGTTCAATTTAGAAAAATTAAGCAGCCATTAAATAAAATGGATTTTAGAAAGATTAAATTATATGAAGATAATATAGCAGAACTGAAGAAGAAGTTAGAAGAATTCGAAAAATCAGATTAATATAAAATTTTATTTTTATATAAAATGAATTTTACTAATAAATTATTAATTATCGTTTCATTACTCCTCATCTCCCGTGAAGCTCGTTTATGGTATGAATCTTTAACGTATGTGGATGACACTGATGATGACATACCTGATTCATGTCAGCATATTTACTGTTGAAAATTCACAAGGTTAGAAATGAGGTTAGATGTCGGGTTAGATCTACCCTAAAATTAATTTTAGCATTTATGATAAAATTCATGAGGTTAGAAATGAGGTTAGATATACTCTAAAATTAATTTAGCATTTATGATAAAATTTGGTATATACAGAATTAAAAAATAAATTTAAAAAATTTTTAAGTTAATTTATTTTTAAGTTTATTTTTAAAAAAATATTTTTTTATTTTGTAAAGTGTCAAAAATTTTAACGTTAATTTTTAAGTTTATTTTTTAAAAATTATTTTTTATTTTTTGTAAATGTCGAATGTATTTTACGTGCCAAACGGTTTTTGTAAATTCTAGTAATTTTGGTTCCGAGGGGCGTAGACCCTTGGTACCGAATTACTAGATACTAACTAAGGGGGCCCTGACCTTGAGAAAGGACCCCCTTCCCGGTCTTTCTGGCGAACTTTGCTTCGCATTGCGAGTGTCTGCTGCGAATCTCGGCCAGAGCAGCAGACACTCACAATTGTAGGTCGCAGTAAGTGCTCCTGCTGTGCCAGAATGCACTTGCCGCGACAATTGGGAAATGCAAAGATGATGCCGGAAGGAGCGCCAAGACCGGTCAGAAGCGCTCCTTCCGGCACCAGAAAGACTAGAAGGGGGCCCTGACCTTGAGAAACGACCCCCTCCCACTTCTATTCTCTTAAATTCACATCTTAACTTTCTGATTCTTTAATTATTTCTAATATTCATTCTATATCCAACTTCTACCAGCATAGCCCAACCATATGGACATCTAAAACACATATATTATCGATTCTCACTCTTTGATGCAATTCACATTTTTAACTTATACATCTAATTTATTCAAACCAATATGTCAACCATAATCACAAAGGCAAACCTTGTTAACGCCTTAAATATTGAACCTGTTTCCCCTAATCTCAAAATTTGATAGGTTATATAAAGAGTCAACATCCGCGAAAAACGAATAGATGCTCATCCACACAAGGGTAAGACAAATGCCGCTGTGATTATGGCTCCAGATATATCCAGCGGCGAAATAGCGATTTTGGCAGAAAAAAAAATGGAAAATTTTTGAACGATAAGAAAAAAATGGAACAGACCCATTTAGATACTCAGATCTTAGAATATACTATTTTGTTAAACTTATTATAGAATACTTCGAAAATTTCTTAAGAGAAATCATTTTGTAACTATGAAAGTAAAAATATCTTACTACTATTTACTGTCATCATCTTTTTTACTTGACATATATTTCAGTGCCGTGTAAACCAAATGTTTACTCAGAGTATATTTTGCATATGAGTCTATTGTTCTTAGAATTTTCATAATATCTGACCTCCGCTGTCTAATTAATTATTGCATTTTCTAAAAAGCCGGCAATTTGAACATAAAATATGTTAGATCCTAAGGTATATCTATTTATTGATATTTTGATTTTCCAAATTTTTTCATTTTTATGATTTTGACGGTAAAAACTTCATTTCTTTTGTTATTTTTTAAAAATTTGAATTTTTTGGAATCTTCCATATGCTCAGAACTTGATTTCGGCTTAATGATTATATTATTGGGCTCAAATGTTTATGTTCAGATATAGAAACAAGCAAACAAGAAAAAAGTTAAAAATACAACTGCATTAAGGGAATTTTTTTAAAAAAAAGTATGATTTATTTGAATAAAAAATGTCATAAGACGAAATGGTGGAAGTGAGGTGAAGTCAAAAGTGACATATATTTGGCCGGCTAAATTCCCCTTTAGTTTACATGTCAAAATTACAATAAATTAATTATTTTGCTTAGCAATTAGCTATGTATTAAAACTAAAATTATTACTATTCAATTCTTTACATTCAAATATTAAACAATTTAAATTTAATAACAAAGATATTACAATAAATAAAAAAATGATTAAAAATGTCCCTGAAAATTTTCTGAAAGCTATCTCGTGTTTAGGTCTCAATTTTTTTTAGAAATAGAAAAAGATTGGATTTAACTTTCAAACATTATATATAGTTTTGTATATGGAAGCCTTTAAATACAAGTTAATGATATGGAGTTGTATTGCGAGGAAGAGGGAATCAAAGAAATTGACGAAGTTCCAGAATTTTATTCAACAATTCTTAATCAATTAACAAAAACTATACCGAAACTTATCTTACCATCCAAATCAAATCACATTACATACGGAATAAACATTTAATCTTTTACCATTAAAATTATATTTATACGTTATTTAATTTTTTTACGTCTAAGTTGAATAGGATAATAGCCGAAGATATAAAGTAACTATAGTTTACAAGCTAAGGAACAAATCAGCATTGAAACTAAAAAATGCTGAAATATTATAATAAATTGAAGAAATACTGTGATAGAATACCTAGTTATACTAGATACTATTATAATATGAATTCATTTGTATTGAATATCGATAATAAAAAATCGATGAAATATTAAAATGAGAATAAATTAATAATGAGATTATAAATTAGAATTATTTCTCTTTTATTTAAAATAAAAACTTAGTTCTATTTAAATTCGATAAAGAAGTACGAAAAAGTTGTATTATACGTATGATGTTGCCCGATGTTTGGTAACACTATTGTAGAATATAAGCATATATGATAGAAAAGCAATATGCTTAATATCGAGTAATTCTAATTTTTTACGAAATTATTCAAATACGTTATTTTTTAAAATGAAAAGATAAGCATACAATTATGCAGTAGTTTGCGCACATATACTGTGCTGATGAAAGTTGGTCTCTAATTCGAAACTTGAGTCTGTCAAATTGACGTTCAAGTATTAAAAAGTTGTATTATACGTATGATGTTGCCCGATGTTTGGTAACACTATTGTAGAATATAAGCATATATGATAGAAAAGCAATATGCTTAATATCGAGTAATTCTAATTTTTTACGAAATTATTCAAATACGTTATTTTTTAGTTTCAATGCTGATTTGTTCCTTAGCTTGTAAACTATAGTTACTTTATATCTTCGGCTATTATCCTATTCAACTTAGACGTAAAAAAATTAAATAACGTATAAATATAATTTTAATGGTAAAAGATTAAATGTTTA